TGAAGAACAAGACACTTTAGACCAAGTGTCTTGTGTGTGTGACAGTGAACACCAGCACCACCTCACTATCCTGTGTGACAGTGAACACCAGCACCACCTCACTATCCTGTGTGACAGTGAACACCATCACCACCTCACTGTCCTGTGTGACAGTGAACACCATCACCACCTCACTGTCCTATGTGACAGTGAACACCAGCACCACCTCACTGTAATAAGACCTACTTGAAACACACAAGGCCAGGGAGATCTCTCTCAGCCTCCCCCAAGACCATGGAGATCTCTCCCAGCCTCCCCCAAGGCCAGGGAGATCTCTCCCAGCCTCCCCCAAGGCCAGGGAGATCTCTCCCAGCCTCCCCCAAGGCCAGGGAGATCTCTCTCAGCCTCCCCCAAGGCCAGGGAGATCTCTCTCAGCCTCCCCCAAGGCCAGGGAGATCTCTCCCAGCCTCCCCCAAGGCCAGGGAGATCTCTCTCAGCCTCCCCCATGGCCAGGGAGATCTCTCCCAGCCTCCCCCAAGGCCAGGGAGATCTCTCTCAGCCTCCCCCAAGGCCAGGGAGATCTCTCCCAGCCTCCCCCAAGGCCAGGGAGATCTCTCTCAGCCTCCCCCAAGGCCAGGGAGATCTCTCTCAGCCTCCCCCAAGGCCAGGGAGATCTCTCTCAGCCTCCCCCAAGGCCAGGGAGATCTCTCCCAGCCTCCCCCAAGGCCAGGGAGATCTCTCCCAGCCTCCCCCAAGGCCAGGGAGATCTCTCTCAGCCTCCCCCAAGGCCAGGGAGATCTCTCTCAGCCTCCCCCAAGGCCAGGGAGATCTCTCCCAGCCTCCCCCAAGGCCACAGCACAATGATCGACACACATAAGCCTGCAAAAACAAGCGTGGCAATGAAATTCCCCCAAGATGGGGTGAATCTTGGCTTTTCCCAGGGTGCCTGGGGCAGGGTGCTTGGGGACGTGCCGGGATGGGGGAGGGTGAGGGGGGGGAGGGGGCGTGTGGGGTGAGGATGAAGGGAAATGGGGGGGAGGGGAGGGAATTATCAAGGGGGGAAAGCGCCAAGCCTTTACGACTATATAGCACATGGAAGGGATCAGGATAAGGATTTGGGATGGGACTGGGGGGGGGGGGAAGGAGTGGCGTGAGGCAAAGGGAAGTAGAGAAGTTGGGGAAGTTTGTGGGGGAAGATGGTGGGGGAAGGGGGGAGGGGGTAGATGTGGGAGTGTAGAAGGGGGTGGGGGGGTGGGGATGGGGGGTGGGGGGGTGGGGGGGTGGGGATGGAATAGTACTTACCATTCGGTGACTACCCAAGACTACGAGGGAGTGGGTCCAGCTCTCTCTGCCCGGCCCGCTGGCCTGGTTGTGCCCGTTACGTTATAACGTAACTGTTCTGCCGCTCGAATTCTTTGTTGGGTCTGGTCTTAAAGTTATAGGTGGAGGTGGCTTCTACAACTTCTCCGTTCAGTGTATTCCGCTTGTTGACCTCCCCGTACAGGGGACGAGTATTTCCTTACACAGAGCATCACTTGTTGACCAAACCACACACCAGGAAGTGAAGGGACGACGACGAGAATGGTCCAGGACGGACCGAAACGTCGTCATCCATTCACTTTCTAGTGTGTGGTCTGGTCAACATATTTCAGCCACGTTATTGTGACTCCACGTCTGCAGAGCATCAATGAGAAAATCCGTAGGAGCAGTGATGAAGGATCGAACCTGTGTGGTGGGTGTTCCCAGGCACACGCTCTAGCCACTACACCACGACATGGTAATAAGAATTGCAACCTGGAGTTCTACTGAACACAGAGATAACAGAGCCAGAGTGCTTGGGGTTGGGGGGTTGGATGGTATGACAATCTTGGTCCGGGTTCAGTGGAAGCCTCACAAAACCCTCGTGGGTTCAGTAGAACTCCAGGTTGCAATCCTTGTTACCATGACGTGGTCTAGTCGCTAAAAGCGTGTGCGTGAATCTGTTCGCACAGATTCGAACCCTCATCACTCCTCCTTCGGATTTTCCTATTTTCTTACATTTCTTCGACTTATTTTTCGTTTCCAACTTCCACTTATGACCCTTAGTTTTATTTTCTCTCACTTTAAAGAGGCTCAACTTGTCCACCTTGTCAATTTCCACTCAATATCTTGTACATTCCGATCATGTCCCCAATGTTTCTTCTCCTAGGGTTGTGAGGTCCAGTTCCTTTACCTGATACTCATAGCTTAGCACTCTGAGCTCTGACACTAAACTCGTTGGACACCTCTGTACGTTTTTCTGTTCTCGTTTTATGCTTCACGAGGTGTGGGTTCCAGGCCGGTGCTGCATATTTCAGTATTGGTCTGACAAAGGTTGTATTAATTGGTCTGAAAGATCCATGGTTTAAGTTCCTAAACGACGTTCTAATGTTTATCAGCATCCCTATGCCTTCAACCTCGCTTTGACAGTTCCTGCGACAGGGCTGGAACCAATCGTATTGGCGTTTGCCTTTCCAATGGAGACTTTCGGCGCCGTGGAGAGGGGGGGGGGGGGACCTGCTGCATGGGTGACGGCTTCTCCCCCGTATCAACCTACCCTGGCTTTGCGCCCTGGTGAGGCCACTCCAGACCGACAACCTGAGCGCAACTCCATAGTCTCCTGAGACTGGTGGATGCCTACTACTACTATATGTAGTTGATATTTTCTTGCTTATTTGTGGGTCTGGAAATAGTTTTGGAATTATATCAACTCCCAAATAATTTTCTCTCTCCGATTCCTGTATCTTCCTTCCTTTTGTGGCATAAATACCTTCTGGCCTAATTTCCCATTTTGTTATTTTCATTACCTTGCACTTGTTGGGATTGAATTCCAGCAACCATTTGTTTACCCACTCCTGAACTTTGTCAAGGCCCTCCTGTACTCTTCTTCTTCTGTCCTAACCGTTTCTTATATTCCTCATTAGCTATGCGTCGTCTGTAAACATTAACATGACCCGCAGGAAGGTTAGTCACGTGAATCAGGAAGAGTAGGGGTGCCAGGACCGACCCTTGAGGAACTCCACTTGTTACCTTCCTCTAACTCGAAGCTTCATCTTTGCTATGACTGTTTTCTGTCCAGCAGGTACTCCCTTGCCGAGTTAAGTGGCTTCCCAGTTATCCCAACATGTTCTCCCTCTTGACTACATGCCTTTCATGAGGAACTGTATCAAACACTTTCTGACAGTCTGGTAAAATACGGTCGACCCAGTTCTAGAGGACTGAGTAACTAGAGTCCTAATTCTTGTTCCTGTTGTGTTATAGTGACCTTGTCATGAATCTTGAGATCTTGAGGTTATTTTGAGATGATTTTGGGGCTTTAGTATCCCCGCGGCCCGGTCCTCGACCAAGCCTCCACCCCCAGGAAGCAGCCCGTGACAGCTGACTAAATCCCAGGTACCTATTTACTGCTAGGTAACAATCTTTGTCATGTTGATCACGCTCGACTGTCTCCTTCTAAATCCATGCTGCCCATTTCTTACACAGTTTGTCCTCTCCAAGTGACCAAGTATCTTCAGCCTGATTGCTTTGCTCAGCGCTTAACACAGAATACTTGTCACGTGACAATGGTGTGTATCTTAGTGCCTCCTGTCTCTCTCCCTATTGTCAATATTGCGACTCCGTTTGCCTCGCTTTTGTTTAAATTATGGGAAGTTTCCAGTCTCAAATGTTTTACTGAAAAGTTTTATTTATCGGATTATAAAGCATCTCTGCGGCCTCCTACAGTAGTCAAGGTGATAATAAGTCTAGTCCTGTTGATTTTGTTGTATATCTAATTCTGATGTTTTCTAGCCGCTACAGTAACTGTTGTCAACATCCAGTGTTTCCTCTGGCCTTTCATCTCTCAACTCTGCTTTTTTTTCAAAAATTTCCTAAAATCTTTGTTGAGTTCCTCACACACTGCCTTGTCGTTTTGCATGAGAATTCCACCTTGTCTTCAATCTGTTTACATGGTCGAGTACACAATGTGTCAACTTAGTGAAAGAGAAAACATGCACTCTCTTGAACATTATATTGTAGAATGTCCCATACTGACTGACTTTCGCCCTCCTGGGCTAAGGTATGCTGAACTCTGTAGTTACAATATGAGTACTGGAACACTTGATGATATATTGGACTTGTATTCAAGATTGACCATGTAATATATCAATCATACAATGTATATATATGATGTAACTATATAACCTGAGCTTGTAAAAGCACCTTCATCACCTTCAGTGATTAAGTGCTTAACTGCACACTAGTTTCTTTATCAGCCACCTCACCCTGTCAGAGTAAATGAGACAAATGTATGTGAATGCATGTGTGTGTGTGTATATATGTATGTATATGTGTGTGTGTGTATATATGTATGTATATGTGTGTGTGTGTATATATGTATGTATATGTGTGTGTGTGTATGTATATGTATGGGTATAAAGTATATATGGAAGCTGATCAGAATTACATTTCACCTTTGTGAATGTACATTAATGACACTATGTAAAAGACACATCTAACACTTTATGTATGTATTAAGGGATAGAGAAGTGAGGAAGAGCGGTAGAGGAGGTTTGGGATAAGTGAGTGGAGAAGTGTGGCGGAGGATCCTGTGAGCAACCCGTCTTCTTAAAAATAACGTCACTTTTGGCTGGTATGCGCACTATGGCCAAATTTGGACGTAATTTGAAATGAAATCGACTCACAAAAGTGACGTTCTATTCCGTTTTCTATTTGAGTCGTCCGGCGTACGCGCAGAGGTTATAAGAGGACACTTTAAATTAACGTTTTTCATAACGTTTTGAAACTTTATGAGAATTTCCTGCCCACCTAACCCATCAGAGGACCCTTAACTTACTGTCGTTGAAAAAAAAATCCCAAATTTATTTTCATTTTTTTTCATTTTCAAATTACGTCCAAATTCGGCCATACGGGCAAACGGCCAAAAGCGACGTTCTTTTTAAGAGGACAGGTTGCGTACAGTCTGGGATGGAGTAGAGGAGAAGCAGTGGAGGATAGTGGTGAGGGCTGGGACGTGAGTACGCTGCAGGGCGAGTCGTCGTCGTCGTCGTCGTCGGATGGTAAGGAATGAAATATAAAGAGCTGAAGACCATGGGAGAAGACAACCAATATATCAGGAGGTAAGGCTAACAAGTGCCAGGAATAAGGAAGAAGGAGCAAGACATAGAGGAAAAGGGGAGGCGAGAAAGAAAAGATCCAAAAAAAGGAAGGTAGCGACAACAAACAAAGGAAGCGGGAAAATCCCAGGACAGGAGGTGAGATGAGACAAAAACCGTGAAACCAGAAGAGTAGGGCGAGGGAGGGTATATATAAGACCAGCCTTCAAGGACCTGCACCATCAACACTCCTGCAGGACCCCAGACACACACACACACACACCTATCACAGTCTTCAGGTAAGAGTATTATTGAGACAATCAGTAGGAGCCGTCAGGAGGATTCGAACCCATTCACTTGGTACTCCCAAGCAGGTGAGAGGGTTCGAACTCTCCTTATGACACCTTATTCATTGTCTCGTTGATACATCACGATAATGGGATTTCTATGAACATTATTATTATTATTATTATTATTATAAACGTGTTAGTTTCTTCTGCCTAGACGGGACTTTTGTACAGAAGTGTTAATCAAACGGACTATATTGGTCAAACACAGTGTAGTAAGTTGTAATGACAACAACTGTAATATATCATAATATAACTATAAATGGCATATATATATATATATATATATATATATATATATATATATATATATATATATATATATATATATATATATATATATATATATATATATATATATATATATATATATATATATATATATATATATATATATATAATTGTATTTATTTATTTGGTTAAATATGAACGCATTGCTGGCGTTGTTGATCTTATAGTATAAGCTTTCTTTGTTTCTATTTCTCTTACTCACGGGATTAAGACCAGCAATCTAGTTACCAAAATTCATTGTAAAGGAACTCTAGTAATTAGTGAAGGTTTCTACTGGTTCCTTCCACTCTGGAACATCTTCAGGTGCAAGGAATGAATGCACAAGATTGATTGATTGATGTAAATTAAGCCACCCAAGAGGTGGCACGGGCATGAATAACCCGTAGGTGGTAGATGTTTTGGAGTGAATGTGATCTTTGGTCGTGAAAATACACAAGGTGCAAAGTTATCTTAAATATACATATTGAAGAGGTGAAGTTGTGTGGGGGATAAAGTGAAGTAATCACACATAGGTGAAGAAATAGGAGAATAATGGGGATGGAAGCCAATCACACAATAGGTAAGGTGGTGGGTGGGAAGAACTCGGTAGATATGTCTGATGCTGTATGGTGAGGTCTGGGTCTGAGCGTAGGCAAGGTGCTGTATGGTGAGGTCTGGGTCTGAGCGTAGGCAAGGTGCTGTATGGTGAGGTCTGGGTCTGAGCGTAGGCAAGGTGCTGTATGGTGAGGTCTGGGTCTGAGCGTTGGCAAGGTGCTGTATGGTGAGGTCTGGGTCTGAGCGTAGGCAAGGTGCTGTATGGTGAGGTCTGGGTCTGAGCGTAGGCAAGGTGCTGTATGGTGAGGTCTGGGTCTGAGCGTAGGCAAGGTACCCAAGTTATTACTCTGTATATTTATGGTGGGTCTATTTTACTGTTATGAGAATAGCGTCCAGTATTTGTAGTCTTCAGTGGTCAGTGGTGTATGACAGGATTTTTGTATTATCTGCTAGCATGTTCCTAGTGAGTGTTGTGTTATGTACACTTTGCTTATGGTTTCTATAGGCACCAGCTTGTAGATGGCAGGTCAGTCTCATCGAGAGCTTTGTGGTACCCATACCAATATAAGTAGATCGAAGATAAGCTATTTACTTATTTACTTATTTGTTTATTTTTGCCGTTTGGCTATACGTTCCACTTTAGTCTGCTCAAAAGTATATTACTTATTAAAATTAAAAGTGAGAGATTATACTAAGTTCATTATCTCAAAGTTTGAGTTTATAAGCTTCGAAGACAATGTGAAGCCATAAGTTAATCCCTTCTAAAGTTCATTCATGTTTGGCTTCTTCTCGCTGTTTGCCTCCTACGTTGCTCATGCCCGTCTATTAAAATTAGCTCCATCTGTCTGTCTAGTCAGCTTGAAGCTTCATCTTCAGCACACTTCAAGCCCACTAGCCGTCGTACTAGCAGCCCACTTGGGGCCTTATTCAAGTTACTTGTTGCTTCACTTGCAACTCAATTACAGCCTCGTTTACAACCTGATACATTGCGTGAGGCTCTACGGGATCCGCTGTGTTGATGGATTCGGGACCCTTTGTGTTATGCAGTGTTCTATCGGACTCTGTTCTACAGTACACATTGTGTTGAGTACGTAAATTGGTTAAGTATATAAATGGGTGAATGGGGGATATGTATATATATATATATATATATATATAATATAAATTTAATATAAATGAAACAATACAGAACTCAAAACTCATGTTTAAATAGATTAGGAAGTTTAGAGTCAGGAAAAACCAGAGTGAACACTTATTTGGAAAGAATTTTTTTAATTCGTGAAACAAATTACCAGGGTATATATATATAATAGCTGTGGGATCGCTGGATTGTTTCGAGCGTAGGATAGACATGAATAATAATTGAAATTGTGTTAGAACACGAAAACGCTTGGAAATTTCGTTTCATTTCTCCCTTTGTGGATTCTTAGGCATAAATGGGTTTGTGAGGATGTAATAGGAACTGCCTTGTATGGGCCAATAGGTCTTCTTCAATTTCCATTTGTGTTTCTAATGGTCTTATGAATAGTATTCCATGACCCAGTGTCTTGTATACTCTCCTAGTTGTGCTTGCAGGAGGGTTGAGCTTCGGCTCTTTGGTCCCGCCTGTGTGTGTGTGTTGTTGACCAGCTGTGCTTGGCTCCCACAGACCATGATGAGTTTCCGCGGGTACCTGATGGTGGTGATGATGGTGCTGGCGATGGTGATGGCTCACGTCGCCACGGGCTTCAGGCGCGACGGCTACCACAGGGACGACCATGATGACCACTTCGACGACCACGACGACCGCTACGACGACAGGGATGACGGTGGCCACAAGGGCTACAAGGGTCGCGGGTGGTGATCCACCTGTCTTCAAGACGATCAAGAAAGTCCTCAAGGCATCAGACCAGCAGCGACCTGACCATCTCACCTCGTCACCTCTGAACTCTTGCTGTATTATTTTTCTCAGCAGTCAACTATTAATACAGAATAAGCATTGTAATGTGAATGTTTCATTATCCAAACCAACGACTATAAATTATTACGGGTAAAATTTTGTATTGGCTGCAAGTTACTGTAGTGAGAGAGACAGTCACACAACTATCATAGATTTCATCATAAAAACGGGAAAATTTCAGGAAACTACAGAAGGCCTATTGGCCCTTGCTTCACCACACACACACTATCTTCATCACTGCAACCATCGTTACTGTAGCCATCTTCACTACCCACGACCAGCCTCATCACTCAGTACTTGATGGTCGTGTGGTCGCGGGTCTTAGAGTTCTCAAAGTGACTTGTTATTTGGCATACCCTTCACCACCTTCCCTACCCTCCACCATCTTCCCTATCCTTCACCCCCTTCCCTACCCTTCATCCCTTTCCCTACCCTTCACCACCTTCCCTACCCTCCACCATCTTCCCTATCCTTCACCCCCTTCCCTACCCTTCACCACCTTCCCTACCCTCCACCATCTTCCCTATCCTTCACCCCCTTCCCTACCCTTCACCACCTCCCTACCCTCCACCATCTTCCCTATCCTTCACCCCCTTCCCTACCCTTCACCACCTTCCCTACCCTCCACCATCTTCCCTATCCTTCACCCCCTTCCCTACCCTTCACCACCTTCCCTACCCTCCACCATCTTCCCTATCCTTCACCCCCTTCCCTACCCTTCACCACCTTCCCTACCCTCATCCATCTTCCCTATCCTTCACCCCCTTCCCTACCCTTCACCACCTTCCCTACCCTCCACCATCTTCCCTATCCTTCACCCCCTTCCCTACCCTTCACCACCTTCCCTACCCTCCACCATCTTCCCTATCCTTCACCCCCTTCCCTACCCTTCACCACCTTCCCTACCCTCCACCATCTTCCCTATCCTTCACCCCCTTCCCTACCCTTCACCACCTTCCCTACCCTCCACCATCTTCCCTATCCTTCACCCCCTTCCCTACCCTTCACCACCTTCCCTACCCTCCACCATCTTCCCTATCCTTCACCCCCTTCCCTACCCTTCACCACCTTCCCTACCCTCCACCATCTTCCCTATCCTTCACCCCCTTCCCTACCCTTCACCACCTTCCCTACCCTCCACCATCTTCCCTATCCTTCACCCCCTTCCCTACCCTTCACCACCTTCCCTACCCTTCACCCCCTTCCCTATCCTTCACCCCCTTCCCTACCCTTACCACCTTCCCTACCCTTCACCACCTTCCCTACCCTCCACCACCTTCCCTACCCTCCACCACCTTCCCTACCCTCCACCCCCTTCCCTACCCTCCACCACCTTCCTTACCCTTCAACACCTTCTCTACCCTTCAGGGAGGTCAGGTGCATAAAACAAGACGGTGAGGAGTACATAGAAAAGGAAGAATAGGGCATAAATGGGGGAAGGATAGTGGACGTAAAAGGGACACAACACATACAAAGATTAATCAGGTGGCATGTTGAGCAGTGCAGGCGATGAGTCACAATAACGTGGCTGAAGTATGTTGACCAGACCACACACTAGAAATTGAAGGGACGACGACGTTTCGGTCCGTCCTGGACCATTCTCAAGTCGATTGTGAGATTCTTCTTTCAACACTGTTGAGCAGTGTCTTCTATGTTGGGATCTTCACGTTCTGGTCTTGTTCTTACTCTCATGGTGGGTGGGTAAAGCCACGCCCACTACACCTGCCCAATCTTTGTTTTTGCTTCGTCCCTATTTACGTCCCTTATCTTTCCCCATTTGTGCCCTATTCTTCCTTTACGATGTACTCCTCACTTGCTTGTTTATGCACCTGACCTCCCTAATGGTTTAAATGCAATACGCCTAACACTGTCCCTTTACTTGAGAATGAACCATGTAGGTTCGAAACGTTGTGTAAATTTATTATAAGTGTAATACATTCTACAGTTAATTATTTCTTTCTTTTTCTTCACCTCGACCAAAGATGACCTTTGGAGAACCCTTCTTCTAATTAAACCAAGATGCAAGAGCACTAGTCAGAGGGAAAGAAGCTCTGAACAAGAACTATATTTCTTTAGTATATGACTGCAGAATATGCAGTCATATTTAATGAAACATGTATAAATGAAAACCTGCTGCCAGTATACATATATATATATATATATATATATATATATATATATATATATATATATATATATATATATATATATATATATATATATATATATATATATATATATATATATGTCGTACCTAGTAGCCAGAACTCACTTCTCAGCCTACTATGCGAGGCCCGATTTGCCTAATAAGCCAAGTTTTACTGAATTAATATATTTTCTCTAATTTTTTTCTTATGAAATGATAAATCTACCCATTTCATTATGTATGAGGTCATTTTTTTTTATTGGAGTTAAAATTAATGTAGATATATGACCGAACCTAACCAACCCTACCTAACCTAACCTAACCTATCTTTATAGGTTAGGTTGGGTTAGGTAGCCGAAAAAGTTAGGTTAGGTAGGTTAGGTAGTCGAAAAACAATTAATTCGTGAAAACTTGGCTTATTAGGCAAAACGGGCCTTGCATAGTAGGCTGAAAAGTGCGTTCTGGCTACTAGGTACGACATATATATATATATATATATATATATATATATATATATATATATATATATATATATATATATATATATATATATAATAATAATCATGCTTATATTCGCTTTGGGTGAGGTGATATGACACAAATGTTTTAGGTGAGGAGACAAAACACGAATCATGGGTATAAATTGGATATGAAAACATAAGAATGACAGTAACTACAGAAGGCCTATTAGCCCATATTTTCTCTTGCTGCTTCTGTGTTGGTTCGGGGTCTTGAAATGGGTAGAATATAATTATGTGTTAATTAGCTGTTGATTGCTGGTGTTAACTTTTTGATGTGTAAGGCCTCGCTGATGTAACAACAGGGCTCCATCAAGGAAACCTTTTCCTTGATTTACAAGTTTTATATATATTTATATAGACTGGTATAACGACAACAGAAGATTGGACATCAGCGAGGCCCTACACATAAAAAATCAAGACCAGCAATCATCAACCATTTAACACATAATTACATGCTACCCACTTCAAGACCCCGAGCCAACACGGAGACAGGATCCCCAACAACATGGACCGCTGATGTTGATGCTTGTAATACCCCTATTAATATCCCTCATGTTATGCCATTCATCCACCTATTTTATCCTCTTGTTCTGTACAACCTCACCCAAAGAGAATATAAGCTTTTGCAAAAGCATGGCAAATTAGTCTTTGAGATTAATGATTGAACTTGCAAAACACATCCCTAGGCGTCAGACCATAATTAAAAGTGTGAAAATGAACTTTGGAGAGTAAATTTTTCAACTTCCCTCAACAGTGAAGAAACGTAAGAAATATTGAGAAGATTCGTGTTAGAATCATTAATCTTACCCTTTTGGTCATATTCAACAACTAATGTTTACAAAAAAGACTGCTACCGAAATATACTAATATATACAAGAAGGTACATTGGCTTTATGAGAGTACATAGCATTGATGTTTTTACATTCTTGTAAAGCCACTAACACGCATAGCGTTTCGGGCACGTTCTTAATCTAACATAATTTTAAGTAGCTAATTTCTAGCAAAACTGGTAAATGTTAACAGATATACTGTAAGAAAATTTGAAGAAAACTATTAGGTACATTATAGCAAAATCTGAGGATTATCAACAGGTACATTGTAGCATAATTTGAGGATTATTTCTAGGTACAATGTAGTATAATTTGCGTTCAACATAACCATGATATAAGATGATATCATGGTTATGATATCATGATGATATCATAAGATGGTGAAGTTTGTATGGCTTAGCCACCTAAGCCATCCACCACTAGGTGGATGGCTTAGGTGCTATCATATAGTGGGTGGCACAAGATATATTGCGAGTTTGAAGTTTCCGAGTTTCCATTGCTTCTCAGTTACTTCAAACGCTGGGATGTTGTGGACAAGGCGATGTCGCTTATCAATGAAATAGCAAACCGCAGCAAAGTTAAGAGTCTGAGAACATAGAGGGAAAAATGACTGCATCTACGTTATATTCCTCCCATGTTGGTGGTAATTGTTTCTTTGGCAATGAGGCACGTTCGTGAGGGACATTATGCTTTGTAACATTGGAACATATACGGATCTTATTATGCTTTCACGTGCATTATTCATTTCTTCCCGCCTGTTGTAGTGAGAGGAATAATTCATTCACTCCCTCGCCTCTCACCGTCCAAGTGGTTGGGCACCATTCCCTCCCCCCCCCCCGTCCCATCCCAAATCCTTATATCCTGACCCCTCCCAAGTGCTATATAGTCGTAATGGCTTGGCACTTTCCCCTGATAACTCCCAATTCCCTCGCCTCTCATTAGTCTAATCGCCGAGGCTTCATTTATCTCTGAAATTCTATCCCCGAAACTCTGTAAGTTCAATCATATCATCTTAATCTCAGTAATAATATTTCCTGGGCCATGATAAGAATCTTGGGATTATTCTCATGGCTTCATTTTGTACCTTCTCCAACTTGTTTTGTCTGCCTTTACCAAAATAAGAAATGACAGGGGCAGCATAATCAATAAGATATCTCACAGTACGCCATGTGATTACCATTGGAATTTGATATGTAAAATATGATTAATAATAGTGGACTGAATGGGTTTGTGAGCCCCTTGAAGGACCTTATATAATAATAATAATAATAATAATAATAATAATAATAATAATAATAATAATAATAATAATAATAATAATAATAATTTGCAGGCGATGAGTCACAATAACGTGGCTGAAGTATGTTGACCAGACCACACACTAGAAATTGAAGGGACGACGACGTTTCGGTCCGTCCTGGACCATTCTCAAGTCGATTGTGTGTCAATAATAATAATTTATTTAGGAAGAGTACATACATAGTTGCAGCGTTACAGTACAAACATTCTGTTAGAATTAAAGATAGAGGTAGTACATACAATACCTAA